ATCGAAAAGTGTAATCAAACACAACAGTTAATTCATATCGAAAGGTGTAGCCAAACACAACAGTTAATTCATATCGAAAGGTGTAATCAAACACAAAAGTTACTTCATATCGAAAAGTGTAATCATATACAAGAGTTACTTCAAATCGAAACTTGTAATCAAACACAAGAGTTGGTTCTTATCGAAATTTTAATCAAATACAAGAGTTACTTCATATCGAAACGTGTAATCAAATACAAGAGTTACTTCATATCGAAAAGTGTAATCAAATACAAGAGTTACTTCATATCAAAACTTGTAATCAAATACAAGAGTTACTTCATATCGAAACTTGTAATCAAACACAAGAGTTGGTTCATATCGAAATTTTAATCAAACACAAGAGTTAGTTCATATCGAAACTTGTGATCAAACACAAGAGTTAGTTCATATCGAAACGTGTAATCAAACACAAGAGTTAGCTCATATCGAAACTTGTAATCAAACACAAGAGTTAGTTCATATCGAAACTTGTAATCGCTTCAGCAGAAAAACACACCTTAAACCATCACACTGCCTTCCTCATGCTTCATCTATTGAGGTATATTTCTACTTTCTTTCGCCGGACGTACAACCTACGCTTTGAACCAAACATTTCAAACTTGGACTCGTCCGTCCATAACACAATTTTCCAGTCATCAACAATCCAGTTTTTTATTTTTTAGCAAATTTCAGTCTCTTGACAATATTTGGAGATCGAAGTAACTACTACACGACCAAATATTCCATTCTCGTTGAGTCTTCTTGATACTGTAGATCTGGACACTTTTCTGTCATTTGGTACATGGACGTTTATCTCATGCTTGATATCAGTGGCAGTCTTCCTTCTGTCCTGAAGGCTGCATAAACGAAGATACTTAACATCAGTATCATTGAATTTAGATGTTCTGCCTTTTCCTTTCCTATTTTCAAATTTACTTGTCTCGGTCTCACGATCTAGTGTGTACTTGAGAGTGTTTGGATAACATTTCAAGTCTGCAGCAATTTGTCGGAGAGTCCAACCAGCATCACGTAAAGCTTTTATGCGAACTCTCTGCTCTACTCTACGCTTTTTGGGCCGTGGCATGACAACAAAACTTAATATATAGTGTTAAACACTTTTTTTTTATCAAGGTTTATTTGTGGAGTGCCATTAAATTGATTTCTCCTAGCATATACCAGTACCATATGCTAGCTCGTTGCTAGCATCTTTCTATATACTTAACACATTGCATGGGGTACCATGACAGTTATTTCAGACTCTAAATTTGATCAGTATGTTCATTCAAGCATAACCTTTATGACTTACTCTTGGTACAAGTATGTGGGAATTCTAAAGAATGATAAGTATTCTCGCCCTGGTTCATTCAATTGCCAATAGGGGTCAGTGAAGCATTACTATAGTGTTGAAATTTATATTCTGTAATGGCATGGAAGAATTAGCCCCATAAAACGGAAAGAACGACATAATATTCTCTTGTCCTAACACTTTTGCACAGTACTGCAAATAATCTCCTAATGACAAGTTCTAAACACCTTTCTGGAGAGTAAACATTCGTAAAAATTCTGAAATGTTAAGATAGAAAACTTACTATGGCTTGTCGCAGTGTCTTTCTGAGTGTGTGATACCAGCACCACATGTCCGGGAACATTCAGACCAAGAATTCCACTGACCCCACTCTCCATCTACAGCTTCTGGTCTTTCACCAATTGTAGTACATTTGCCCATGAAACACCACTAGCCAACCCAAAAAAAATAGAAAGAAAGAATCACTATAATCAATTCAATACTAAATATATATGTATAAAAGTGATTATACCAGGAAGCTTTGGCAAAGCTCACGTTAACATCAGAATACAGATAGAAGGTGCTTACGGCTATCGTAAAACTTTAGTGGAATAGTAGGCAAATACACAGTGGCGTATAAAGTAATCTAATATATATATTAGTTTAGATCCACTATTACTGAACAACAAAATACTAGAATGGTACATCACTAAGAAACTGGAATACATACAGAAGGTGCTTACGGCTATCGTAAAACTTTAGTGGAATAGTAGGCAAATACACAGTGGCATATAAAGTAATCTAATATATATATAGTTTAGATCCACTATTACTGAACAACAAAATACTAGAATGGTACATCACTAAGAAACTGGAATACATACAGAAGGTGCTTACGGTTATCGTAATACTTTAGTAGAATATTACATCACTCTAGAATAAAACAAAATTACTTCTGGCTATTAATGAAATAGTTCTTACTTGTGAAATTCAAACACAAATTACTTCTAGCCATAGAAGAAAACTTGTTAGGATTGTGTGTTATTACTTATTTTAACATAAATTCAAACATAAATTACTTCTAGCCATAGAAGAAAACTTGTTAGGATTGTGTGTTATTACTTATTGTAACATAAATTCAAACATAAATTACTTCTAGCCATAGAAGAAAACTTGTTAGGATTGTGTGTTATTACTTATTGTAACATAAATTCAAACACAAATTACTTCTAACCATAGATAAAAAATTATTAGGATTGTGTGATATTACTTATTGTAACATACTTTGCATAGTGGAGTTTTTTCTTTTCACTTTATGTTGTCTACACTCTTCGGTAAATCGCAATGCTATAATTTTTTGCTATCTTATACAGATCAAAACAGAGATTCAAACTGAAAAGAATGCAAACATAATCTTCACTAACGTATTACTTCCTACATATAAACTTTTGTGAGCCAGCTGAAAACCTATTGTTTCGCCTTACTTCTCTTGTCCCTAGATAACTGACACGAAATATATTATTGGAAAAATAAAGGCTCGACATAACAATAACGTTTTGTTTAACGGTACAACATCAAGTTTCTTAAGACCTCTAACCTATTGAAATGAGTTAAATATAGTAGCTACAAAGAAATAAGGGCAGATATCACCTTTCATTTTTTAAGCTCCGTGTATGTAGTGCTATACTTGAATCACTGTACGAAAGCGGCCAAGATGGCGTTATTCTAGTTCACAAGAGCAATAGGTTCTCTGCACTTTTTAGTTAATAAACTAAAACTCTTTCATAAGAAAACTATCTAAAACGTTTCAATCGTTTCTGATAAAATTGTCGCGTTTTTCTTTGAAATAACATATTTATTACTTCTTACTGTACAGTTTCATCATTATATATATATGCAAGGCGGGAGGAATATGGAAATTATATGTTTACCTCAGCATTAAAATCGATACGATTTCGATATCATAGAGTTATTAATTCCATTATAAGTTAAACGCTAACATTCTGTGATTAATGTACAGCTTCGTTCCCTGAGGTTTTGCGTTAACATTATAAGTCAACAGTCAACTTACCGAGACCTTGAGTCGATATTCAGTGATTTAAGCAAAGCCAAGTTCAAAGCGGCCTTGTGCTGACATTCAGTGATTCAAATAAAACCAAGCTCAAAGAGGCCTTGCGCTGACGTTCTGTGATTCAAGAAAAACCGAGCTCATAGAGGCTTTGCGCTGACGTTCTGTGATTCAAGAAAAACCGAGCTCAAAGAAGCCTTACACTGACGTTCTGCGATTCAAGAAAAAACAAATTCAAAAACGTTTTGCACTGACCTTCTTGATTCAAGAAAAACCAAGCTCAAAGAGGCCTTGCGTTGACGTTTAGTGATTCAAGTAAAGCCAAGTTCAAAGAGGCCTTGCACTTACGTTTAGTGATTCAAGTAAAGCCAAGTTCAAAGAGGCCTGGCACTGACGTTCATCTGAAAGCGTCACATCTTGAAAGTGTGACTTTTCGTCTGCAGTATGCATAATTAACGCATTGCATGATTCGAATCGTATTTAGGAAGGAAAATATTCAGTTGTGAAATTGTAATTATAAACCAGACTTGTAGTTCCTGTTCCAGTTGTTACCACCTTTTCTAGACATTAAACAGTTCTAATACAATAAAACCTCGATGACAACTACATTTTCTGGAAATTCAATATTTTTTTTTTTGCCAATCCCGAAGCTACAAACGGGCTATCTGTGGTCTGCCTATCGCGGGTATCGAAACCTGATGTTTAGTACTATAAGACTTCAGACTTAACAATGAGCCACCGGGGGTTCAAGTTTTAATAAAGTATAAAATCGGCTTACTGGACAAACTAATCAAAATAAAAAATTACAAAAAGATAAGTTGGTGATAATCTAAAACTTCCCAAGAAAAAATAATATTGAAACACAATTCATAACATTTTTAACACGTGATGTTTGCATTTAGACATTATAGGTTTAGCAATGAAACTATCATTGAATGCAAAACGTAGCATGCTTGATTTGTATTTTTCTTTCATTTGCACTTTTTTTTTTATATAGTTGATTTTTTATAACTGATCACGATTCTAGTTGATCAAACTTTAAATTACTACTTCGTACTATCAGTATTTTCTACGTACTGAACTGTAATCCAAGTTAAAGTAATCTAATTTTCCACGGATTAAATTTAGCCGTGCCTAATTTTCCACGGATTAAATTTAGCCTTACATAATATTGAACTACTGACCAGAAGAAGGCAGCTACAAAAGCTCTATCCGTCTCTTTCAACCGAATAAAGATATTGGATATCGCATTTATAAAACACCTTCAGTTGAAAAACGCTTAGCGTGTTCAGCGGCACCAGGTATCGAAGCGGACTCTTCGACCCTCAGCCCGTCACGTTAAAGTCTGACCATCTTTAATTTACGAAAATATTTTTGATAAAAAATACTGTATTTATACTTTTTAAGTGGTTTTGGTAACCAACAGTAAAGTAAGTTTTACGTTTTTATCACTTACCACAAAAACTAACTATATTGATCGCGTTGAAGCTCATTCGCAAGAAGAAATAGTTCTGTTTTACTATATATGTACGGTCGCTTTCAAGAATATGCTATTTTTAAATTCCATGTGGCCTAGAAGGCTAAAGTCCATTTTCGTTTGCTCGTGTTTTGGGGGTTGAGCGCTGCCCAGTGGTTAGCGTACCCGAAAATGGCTACGAAGTTCCATGATTCACACCCCATTGCAACATAAAAGAAAATAAAAAAATCATGTTCCGTTCTTTGGAGCCGTGGTTGCGTCAAAACAGTGTTGATCAAGTACCACTACTCGATTAAATTAGTCAAAGAGTTGGCGGTGGATGGTATTGACTATCTGTCTTCCCTCTAGTCTATCGCTTCAAAATTAGAGACGGTTGGCGCAGATAGCCTTTTGCAATAGGAACTACGCTGCAGGTCTATTATAAGTACGCACGGTCATCAGATAGAGCATGACCGGACATTACAACAACGGAGTAAGGCTCAAAATCGTTTTAATATAACATATTCAACTTCTTAATGGGGGTTTAAGTCCTTTTCAATCACCAATAATGTAACCTAAAATAATTTATGTATTTGAATAATGTTAGAGCTCGTGCCTAAATAATTATTCTACATTATATATCGGACTAAGTATTTAATTATTTCATATATATATGTTAGATTTTTATTCCAATTTCACCAAAGGTAAAATTGAAAGGAAAATCCGTGGTGATTGAAAAAGACATTAAAAACCTCATTAATTTTGTATACAAATCACCTTTATAAGAGGCCTAACTGTATTTCTTTGATTTGCCAGCCCAAGTTGTGCTGATGAGCCTTCGATAGGCGAAACTACAGTCCAAAGCAGTGGGTACGGCCAATCATGGAAAACATTAGGCCTCTACGTCATACATTTTCCTTTCAATTTTGCATTTGGTGAAATTGGAAGAAAAAATCTGTAACACACATATATATACATAACCTCCGTACAACATGCTACTTTTAAAGCAATATTATCCACACAACACAAATTACAAAAAGTAAATAATAATAGAAGTTGTAACAGGCAATATATATTTTCTTTTTCTTTTTTTTGGGGGGGGAGGTATTATCATTTACACCATTTTCAAATAATACACGCTAACCACTGATCCGTGCTTAGCCCTTCATTTTCATATTCCAACCAACTTCACAAAATGTATTTTTGTCGCTGACGATAAACTCTTTGATTCACATAAGTTCCTTATACACTATATAACTTACAAAAATTATTTCGTAAATAAGAATATTATAAATAGGGATATAAATTTTTTTATATATATAACTTCTAATTTATATTATGTTGTCCTCTAGATAAGGCATAAGGCCATTCTGTTGGGAAACTATCAAATTGTTCCACTTACATACGAAGCATTTAATGCATACATACAGTTGAGTACGTAAAATGTAAATCACGTGAAAATCACATTCGATATAAAGTCGTGATGGACCTGAATGGATCAGACCTACATTTTGACGTTGCGCAAGCAGTGTAACGCTACCGAAAATGGGCCGCTTTTGGGGAGGGTGTGTAACAGCCCTTTACGACGCAAAATATTGATACATTCAGATCATAAAGATGTGCTCATATCGGAAATTTCTAATTTTCAAAACGACGATATTCTCTGTGCTTAATGAGATAAGAAAACGAAAGAATATCGATCAACTTAAATTACCAGGACCATCTACAAATAGACCTGGAACATGTCGTACCCGTTATTGTAGGTAAAGTGCAAGGCCTTGTAACAGTTGAGAATCCACGAACATACAATTCGGTGTAAAAGTCCATCCACGTCCTCCAGGCAACAGTAAGCAACATAATAAAAAAAGGATCTCCGTCTGGGAAACACAAGTCACGTGCTTTCATGACAAACTCTTTCAACCGTCGCATATATCAGGCAGCTGGAGAATGAAGATGTTATTCATAGTATACCATAAGAAAATATATCTGTCAAGTCGCCGGACGAAGTGCCTATGGATTTCTGTGCGATCAATCTAATGATACAAGCGTTGGAAAACCAACGTCTTTGTACATTAGGTGTATTATGGAAACACCATCAAGGATGAGGAGTGTACTTTGGACATGATAGGCCTACGACAAAATCTTTAGCAATGAAAACTACGCTGCAAAGCTATTTTCAAGATGCACGGTCGTCATATAGAGTATGACTGAACGTGACGACATGGATCGTTAACTACATGTTTTAATAAAACGTACTCAATCTCTGTTTAAAGAAGTTCTAAATCTTCATTCTTTCTGAGTAGAACACATCTATGGATTGATAATACAACGTATTACACAACGTGGAATGCTATTAAAGTAATACGATTGAATACAGAGTCTTTGTTTGTTTTGAATTTCGCGCAAAGCTACACGAGGGCTATCTGCGCCAGCCGTCCCTAATTTAGCAATGTAAGACTAGAGGGAAGGCAGCTAGTCATCACCACCCACCGCCAACTATTGGGCTATTCTTTTACCAACGAATAGTGCGATTGACCGTCACATAATAACGCCCCCACGGCTGAAAGGGCGAGAATGTTTGGTGGGATGGAAATACAGAGTCAAAATTGTTTAAAAACTTAAATTCTATAATTCTTCAATTGCCTTCTTTGAATAAAAAAAAGCAAAATAAAAATTAACTCAACATCCATTAATGTACCGACGAAGACGAATAATCACATTCCAATTTACTCTTACAGAAGTGCACATTTTATATTATAAAAAGAGGCAATAGTTTCAACTCGTTAACCTCATAATAATCATTATCATGGGTAAAAAGTTTTGGTACTTTTTATCCTATTTCCTTACCATGTTTCGTCCACAGATAGTTCCTTCTGCTGCACGCTCCAAGCGGGTTACACAGCGTTTATCCATTCGGCACCACAATGTCTGACAAACATCCTGCTTTCAAGAACAAACCAAAGAGCAAAACCTGTCAAACCTCATAAAAATTGTAAAAAGTTCAGGCTTATATATTCTCACAAGAATTATATATTCGCTTTAAAAAAACATTAGTAAAATAAATCACGATGTTGTAGCGAAACTTTAGATTGTTAAACAACTGAATGATTTACGAAATGGGGAAGTTACCGACAAACCGAGTTGGAAAAACTCGACTTTTCCTGTTATGATTCCTTTTAATGTGGAATCGTAGTTCTGGAGTGAGAGAAAAAAAAACAAAAACTTAAAGCTGATTTTCGACAATTTATTCGCATATTCCAGTGTACTAGGTTCATTCGTCCCCACATTAAACTGTTACACAGAAAGGTTAAGTAATTGATAACTACTAAGGAATTCTTAACGCTTTAGGGGTGGATATTGAAGAGAGGTGATGTTATACCAAGAATTCTTAATTACACAAAAAATATGAAGAAGAATATTGATATTATACGTCGGGTTTTATTACAGGGCAACGGAAATGTATGGAGTTATTACAGTAGGCCGATTCATTGTATCCACTTCCATCCAATATAAAGAGTTTACTATTGCAATAAAATGAAACCCGAACTCATAATTTTACAGACTCTCTTTATTTCTGTGGGGAAGCGGATGCAAAGATTATTGACAACGTTAAATCTACTACAAATTACGAAGATTATATCAGTTGAACTTACTTTAACTATTAAAAGTTGTTGTTTTCTACAGTCTATGCAGTATTGTGGGGTATTGCTAGCTCACTCATAGATACTCCTTGGTCCACATACACGTTAATGCTGCTGTTGTTGAATGCTTTAACGCCAACCTTCAGAGTGAGCTAATTACACTATATTCACAGTAGGGATTTATCACCGACTTGTTAAGTTACAATAAGCATCACTACTAGAAATGCTAAGAAGGTCCCGAGAATGTGACTATAAGGTTTCTCCATAGATGGCACTACAAGTCACACACACTGTTTTTGGCTATATATATATCGAAACTATATTAATTGTACTGATCAACAATGAATAAGTAATTGGTTAATTTGTAGAGATATCCAATTAATTTTAATATACAACCAAGTAATTCGTGCATTAAAATTTTTCACAAGATGTTCAATAAGAAAGGGAGGGGCTTTTATTTAGTTATAAGTAAGAACCAGTTGTTTTTCAACCATATAAACGTTTTGTTTACGATAGTACAACATTGTTGCTTGAGCCAAAGTGGGTGTGCTGTTTTTGTTGTTGTTGTTTTTCACGCATTTATCGGAACCGCTCCTGCATTTTTTGTTATGAAAGTAGACATTTTTAATCAATTGATGGTTTATTCATGTTAAGAAAAAATATCAAAATATCCGATTAATAGGATAAATTCTATATCTATCTGCAGGTAATCTCAAAAAGAATGACACTGATTAATTTGTCGGTCAAAGGTTAGGCTGCGCACCTGCAGCTACTCTTTCAGTGATTTTTTTTATTGTAACCTTTAACCCTCAAATGACCGACATCGTTAAAACTGGAAATGTCCACATCTTCCTTCACATTAAATAGTTTAATATTTTTGACTGTTAAAACACTTAGTGTAAAGAACTAACCAAATAAATTGGGTAAATTAGTTACTTTTACGTGAAATATAGAGAGGGGGCCCCCAGCAGTAACTAGTAATAATGAACGTAGAATTGAGAGTATTTTGTACACATTTTTCCATGGCAATATACTATTAGTCGTTCTATATCTAACAATATCATGATCTTGACGTGTAATTTGATGCATAAATAGTTTAGGGAAGTGCGCTAAAAAATCCATGAGGTCCACATGGAACCCCATCGGTAATTCTGGGGTTAAAGGTTTGTTTGTTTTTGGAATTTCGCGCAAAGCTACACGAGGGCTATCTG